CCCGGCCTGGCCGCCTGCGCCCCCGGGGAGAGGCCCCCTGCGCGCGACGGGACCAGCAGCATGAGCAGCGGCTACAGCAGCCTCGAGGAGGACGCGGAGGACTTCTTCTTCACCGCCAGGACCTCCTTCTTCAGGAGAGCGCCTCCGGGCAAGTCCCGTTCGGGTCAGCCGGTGAGTGGCGTGCGCCAGGGCCGGGGGTGGGGGGTGGTGGGGTGGTCCGGGCTCCACGTGTCTCACCCCTTCCGCCGGCCCGATGCTCGGCTGCCGGCGGGCGGGGTGCAGAGGGTGGCCTCTGCCCTTTCGGATCCCGAAAGGTGCGGGGAAGCCTGTGTAGTGGGCGTGGGGCGCCCGCGGCAAGGGAAGGAGGTGGAAGGGCAGGGAGCCAGATGGCCTGGGCCGCTCTGCTCGTCGGGGGCGCGGGCTGCGGGCTGCGGGTGCAGCTCCGGGAGCCTGGAGGTGTCCGGGCCGCTCGGGGTTGTTCCGTCTACGGCCCTTCAGGGGCCACAGCCGGGTCCCCGCGCCGTCCTGGCTGCTGCAGTCCGGCCGATGGGCCATGAGTGGCCTGAGGGCACGCGGTGGCCCGCCCCGGGGTGACCGAGCAAGCCCCCCCAGACCACGGGCACGCTGCAGGGCAAAGGGACCGGGCGAGCGTTGGCGCTCACTGATGTCTGGGTTGCCGGAGTCGAGTCCTGGTCCAGTTTGCGGGTGCTGCGGGCGTCCTAGGTAAACTTAGCTCCAGGGAGCTGAGCTTTACACGCCGGTTTTCTTCCTTTTTTGGAGGAAGGGTGCCGTGGGAAGCGTGGCTTGGGAAAAGACGGTACAGGAACTTGTGCCAGCTTCGCAGATCGTGACAGTGATTGTTTTTTTTTTTTAAAGGGAAGTCTTCCAAACGGGGCACTTTGGCCCGACTTGTAAGGTCGGCTTTTGAACCCATGGCTTTCTGACCCTGGAAGCCGCACCAGGGAGGGACCCTGGCTAGCCTGGCCATGCTCTCTCTCATCAGATTTAGAGACTGTAACGGGACCAACTTGTTGCTCCTAAAAACACAACAGGCCCGCACCGGAGGTTTCTATCAGAGCTCTGGAGATGAAAAAGAGAAACCAGTCGTTGAGGGGTGGGGGTTTTGGTGGAGGGGAACTCTGCCCACGTTGTCCTTGCCAACCCTTTCAAGTTTTAATAGGGTACTTTTTGAAGTAAGATTTATTTATAAGATTTGGAAGTTCTAATCTTTTCGGTCTGTCCAATGTCCAAGCTGAAGGGAGGAGAAGGAGGGTAGTGAAGGGCGAGAGTGGAGTCAGGTGCCCTTATTTCAACCACCAGCTAATCTTACCCCAGTGAAGGGCTGGAGGTGGGTGGGATCGCGGTTTTATCCTCTGACTTCTCGGGTGGCTCTGTTGACTAGGGCTGTCCTTTATTTTCAGTAGAATGTGCTAATGGCATGAATTTGGAAGTCAAAGATCCCTCTTGCCTGGCCTACCCCCTGAGGGTCAGAGAGGTTTCCCTCTGGCCTTTTCCACCTTGTTTTCCCTCGCCTTGTGTATTTCCCTGCGACACTTTGCATTTTCTCCTCCTACCGACGCCATAAAGAGCTTGGACTAGTTTGAAGTGTACTCCAGAGGTGACTCGTCATTTCCAGAAAACTAGAACGTTCTACAGGTGTGAGATTCTCCTCCACAGGGGCCAGCTGGAATGCTGTGGTTGGAGTTTTAAGAATCCTTCCGTGCTCTTAAAAACAGTTGATGCAGTAGGCTGGGGATGTAGATCCGTAAGTAGAGAGCTTGCTTAGTACTGTATGATCTAGGTGGTGGTAGTTCACAGGTTCACAGTAGTGTGTGTGTGTGTGTGTGTGTGTGTGTGTGTGTGTGTGTGTGAAGAGAGAGAGAGAGAGAGAGCGTGAGAGCGAGAGCACGCAGGAAGATCAGCAATTCAAGGTCATCATCTAAAACCCAGACACACACACACACACACACACACACACACACACACACACACACACACACACACAGCACAGCTTTTCTTTCCAGGATTATATACAGTTAGCCAGTCAAGATTATATGCATTCATGCACGCAGTAGTCATCTAATTGTGTGTATGTGCATATCTGTGTATGTCTGGTAATATTGCTTATTGAGCACTGGCATGAGTAGGTAAGTCCTGTGTTGAAAGAGCCACTTCCTGGGTTGAACAGTTCCCTGTGCGGATTTTGCAGCTCTTGCCTGTTTATTCCATCTATCATGGCTCATACACACAGTGCTAAGCTGTGGCCATTGTTTGTCAGTTAAAGAAAGGGTTCTTGGAGAAAAAGGATTCGGAAGCCCGAGTTCATTTATTTACTTCTTTGTTTGTTTGTTTCTGAGACAGTGTCTCTCTTACATCGCCTTGACTGCCCTGGAACTCATTATGGAGGCCAGGCTGACCTGGAACTCAGAGGTCCGCCTGCCTCTGCTTCCTGAGTACTGGGATTAAAAGTCAAGTGCCACCAGGCTGTCTGCACCCTGAGTTTCAGTAGGCATTTTGTTGTATTTGAAGGAGTGACTGTATCTGAGGTTCTGGATTACATATATGAATGAGGAAGTAAAAAAACAGATAAAGCAAAGACTGTATGGTGCGCATTTCTTCACCTTGGAATGCTTTCGATGATGGGGGCCGGACAAACACTTCTTACGTACACAGTGCCTCTACCTCCCCTGAAAGGTGGGGCGAACCGTTGCCATAACGATCTATTCTTGATAGCAGTGATTCCTCTCCTCCCTTATGTCATACCACCTGCTGGAAGCGCTAGGAAGTCTGCTCTCTGGAACTCTTGCAAATATTCAAAGAAGGCAAGGAGTCTCTGGTGAGTGCAGGATGAGGAGAAGGGAGCGTGTTGGGGAGGGTCGGGGATAGACATTTTCTTTTTTCTCTTGCCAGGCGAGGGAACGTTATCCAACCTCTTTCCATCCCTAGTGATAACGAAAAGAGACATAAAGAAAACGGTGTGATTTTTCTCATTTTATTTTGCATCCTGTTTGTCTTAAAAAAAAAAAATGCTGGGCCATGGTGGTACATGCCTTTAATCTCTGCACCCTGGAGGCAGAGGCAGTGGGATCTCTGAGTTCAAGGCCAGCCTGGTCTACAAAGTGAGTTCCTGGACAGCAAGGACTAAACAGAGAAACCCTGTCTTGAACCACCACCCTCACCCCCACCCCCGCCCCCCAAAAAAGACCAAATATCTGGTGAAAGTGTGTAAAAAAAATGACCTTTTGGGGGGTGTTATTGCTGTCTCCCCCTGGCCTGAACCAGCCCTTCACTCAATTGTTGCTCAGCAAACAGTAGTTGGATAAATGAATGATTTCCTAGCTGCTTGATACCACTTTCAGACATAGCCCATCTTCTGGTTCCGCAAGAGCCCTCTGAAGCTGTGATCTTAGGAGAGATATTGTTGAGCGGTTGTCCAAGGCCCTCACTCAGATGTTAGGAGGGCTGGAGCTTGGACCTTCTAATGCGGATTGCATTTTCATGTTCTTAGCAAAAAGATTACTTAAAATTCCGTTTTCCCTTGTAAATATGGATGTGTATATATCAAGAATTGCTCAAAAAGTTTGACTCTTCTTGCGCATAATGGCATTACAGTGCTCTCAGTTCGGGTTTGTGGAGTCACTGGGCTTCAGGGGACCCACTTGGTCATAGTATTAAGCAGAACCAAAAATGTCCACAGTTCTGTAGTTACTAAAATCAAATTGCCTCGAAATATAGGACACATTCACAGTCTGAAACTATTAATATAATCAGCTAAACTTAGATGTCTTTTTAAAAAATTTTTTATTTTTATTTTTTCACAGTCCCACAAAGCCCAGGCTGGCCTTAAACTCTAGGTAGCTAAGGATGACCTTGAACTTCTTGACTGTCCTGCTTTCACCTGAGTGCTAGGAGTCATGCCCCGTTTCCCGGGGTGCTGGAGATCAAGCACGTTAGACAAGCACTCCCCTTTCTTTGAAAGCTTATGGTAAGTTAACAGAGTAAGGGACACTGTTTCTGCTTTAGAAGTGGAAGAGCCACGGCTTCTCCAGAAACGTGAAAGGACGTTGTGCACCACCCACATTAACTTTAGAAAGTTAACACCGAAGAATTCTTAAAGTAAGGCTGCAGTAGGCCACGTCGGCCTTTAGCTGCCTTCTGGGTGGACGCCATATTCTTCTAGTAGTCATTTGGTGACTGTCCTGCTGTGCTTTTTTAGATGGCTCCATAGTAATGTGTTGCACTCTCATATTTTATTATTATCATTTTTTTTTTTTTAATTTTTTACTAGGGCACCAGATCTCCTTGTAGATGGTTGTGAGCCACCATGTGGTTGCTGGGAATTGAACTCAGGACCTCTGGAAGAGCAGCCAGTGTTCTTAACCGCCGAGCCATCTCTCCAGCCCTATTATTATAATTTTTAAAATTTTTTAACTTTATGTGTATGGGGTGGTTTTGCCTGCATGGATGTCTGCGCCACATATATAAATGCCCATGGAGGTCAAAGGAAGGCATTGGTTTCCCTGGGACTGGAGTCACAGATGGTTATGAGCTACCATTTGGGAGCTGGGACTAGAACCTCGGTCCTCTGGCAGAGCAGCCAGTGCTCTGAGCCATCTCTCTACCCCTGAACTCCCTTTATTAGTTTGTGTTTCCTCTGGAAGTTTTGGAGGTAGTTCACTCGGGCAAAAGAATAGTGGTTTAGCCAGGCGGTTGGTGGCGCATGCCTTTAATCCCAGCACTCGGGAGGCAGAGCCAGGGGGATCTCTGTGAGTTCGAGGCCATCCTGGGCTACAGAGCGAGATCCAGGACAGGCACCAAAACTAAACAACAAACAGAACAGTGGTTTACAGTGTCAGCAGTATTTTAGCTATACTAGTTTTAACCCTTGATAACTGAATACAAGGATTCCTACCAGCACTCTTTTTTAAAAAAGAAAAAATTAATTTTATTTTGTGTGTTTGGGAGTTTGGTCTGCCAGTGTCTGTATCCTTCCTACACGTGAGCCTGGTGCCTGCAGAGGCCAGAAGAAGGTGTCAGATCCCTTAGAACTGGAGATATAGATAGATAGTCGAGGACCACGAGGTGCCTGCTGGGACTTGAACCTGGGTCCTCTGGAAGGGCAACTGGTGCTCTTAACTGCTGAACCAGCCCCCGCCGGCAGTTTTGCTTGG